GGGACATATTTAAGTCCCAATATTGCAGACTTACTGAAGCAGAAATGGGAGCTTTCTACCATCACAAAGTAAGGATTCCCAGATTTCCAGTGGGAGAAGAAATAATGACGATTCCTTATTTAAATTGGATAGACAGCTTGTGATATTTCCTTTATTTACAATAAATGATCTAGCATGTTGCATGTGGTACACAAAGAACTAGTATATTTGTTAAGACAACGAGGAATCCTGTGGCACCTTAAAGATTTACAGATATATTTGTGCATAAGGTTTTGTGGGCAAAAGCCCACTTCGTCAGATGGACATTACAGATGCAGATATAAATATATTAGCATTTGAAAAGAAGGGACTTACTTTATTTAGTGGAGGATAAGTGGAGGAGTAGTGCTAACAAGGCCAATTCTGTCAGACTGGATGTGGCCCACTCTCAACATTCGATGAGGAGATTTGAATACGAAGAAAACTGGCTTTTGTAGTGAACCATTTCCAGTTCCTATTCCAACCCAGATGGATAGTATCAAATTTGCAAATGAATTGCAGCTCTACAGTATCTTTGAAGTCTATTTTTGAAGTATTTTTGTTGAGGGTGGCCACTTTGAAATCTCTTTTACTGAATGTCTAGGGAGACACAAGTGTTCTCCTACAGGTTTTTTATGTTACCAGTCTTGATGTCTGACATATTTGTTGACACTGAACAAATCTTCTAATCAAAATCTGTGCTGAATTATTTATACCGTTGGGTCTGATCCAAAGCCCACTGAACTAAGTTGAAAGATTTCCATTGACTCTTGTGAGGTTTGATTTAGGCTGAAGCACAGAAGAGCTTTTTCCCACATTTTTGTTGGGTTTTTTTTTGTTTGTTTTTGAGCAGGCATATAACTGGGAACGTTGGTATCCACTGACAGTTTTAGCATGGCACAATGCAACAACTCATTTGCATGCCTTAGGCTCTCCAAAACGGCATCTGCCATGCAGCATGATCTCACGCATTGTGTGTGAGTTCATGCTGTAGAGAGGACACCATCTTGGAGCTGGACTGGAATTGTCCCACAGAATGGATCTGGGCTGCCAATTGGATAGTGCACAGCCAGTTGAGCATGCAATGTGTGCCTTCCATACATAATTGTCATCCCACTGGTTGGGAGGGAAAGAAAGGAGGGAGAAAGAGAGGCCATTATAAAGATTACAACTGTTAAAAATATATCATATTAACAAAATATTTAAAAAGGCTGAATGTGGCTATTATCTATACCCTTTCCAGTTCATCTACAAAGTCCAGCATTGTTTCTCTTTCCTCACTGATGTCTTTCTTGCCATCTTCGACCAGTCTGTGAAGGGTGCTGTAGTGCTGCTCACTGCTGTTGAAAGAATAGAGTTGAGAAGCATCTTCCCATGCCTGGAAGGTTGGCATAGGAAAGGCTTCTGGTTCTTTGTTCTCAAAAAAGCTTGTCAGGTTTCGTTCACTGAGTTTGGTAGCATAGAGTTGGAAAAGTTGTTCCAATTTTTCTCTCTCCTTCTCTATGTAGACCCTCCAGAACTTCATTTGGAGGTGGCTGATTTTAGATTGGCACCTGGCACAACAGGTGGTTAACAAAGACAAAAGAGCTGTAGTGACTATCACACACCACCCTAGGATCTGGAAAAAAAATAAACAGGCCACACACTTAGTTTTTTCCGTTGAGGAAACAGTATTATTTTCCCCAGCCTCAGTGTGTATCTCTTAGCCACAGTGCAGATCAGTTATGCATATTTATTTTTATTGTATTCATCTTATACCCAAAACTCCCAATGTTGTCAACAGGAATTCTGGAGCAAAAAAATAAAGTATGCCATAAGTGAGGATCAAGAATACTAAATACCCTATATTTTATATTTTGCCACAGACCTGTGTGGTTTTTTAAAATTATTTGTATTACTGTTGTGTCTAGAGGTTCCTACTGAGATAAGGGTTCCATTGAGCTAAGTATTATACATGCACATAATAAGAGACAGTCCTTGCCACTTATAGTTCGAATAGAGATGACAGATAAAGGGAACTATATTATCTATTTTACCAGTGGAAATCAGAGACACAAACAGTTAAGTGACTTGTCAGCAGTCACACAGGAAATCACTGACAGAGCCAGGAAGTGAATCTAGGTGAGCTGAGTCCTCTGCCTTAACCACAGGGTCATAACTTATTTATGTAAGCCCATCTTGCTAAATAGGTTAAAGAAGATGATGTCAAGGTCTCAGATTTCAGCAAGACATATATGTGTGTATAATATTTTTAAAGGTGCATGCTGTGGTTCATCACACTGAAGAAAATGTAGGTAGGTAGAAGAGGGTAAATTAGCCCTACAGCCGAATGGGGAACCAGTATCCTGTTCAATAAGATTTGAGATTTTAAAAATGTTCCCATTCTGAATGAGGGTGAAAAATCAAACACTTAAAAATTCACACACACCAATAATACAAAAATAAGTGCATAACAGATTAATCAAAATGTTGTTTCAATTTAATTATTTTTTGTATAAGAACTAACATTTCAAAGCAAATGCCATTTTAAACAAACTACAAAAAAAACAAAAACTCCTAAAAATTGTAGAAACCAATCCTTTCCTGCAGAATTTTAATCAGTGCTCTAACCACCATCCCCACACAAGCAGATCTCCCCCACCTCCCATCCCCTGGCCCCTGAACTTTTCAAATTGAAATGCCATTGTACAAAAACATGTATTTTCACACACTTGGAAACTTCAAATGCTGCTGTAAAATAGAATTGTCATTTTCTGGAGAGTTCTAGTGGAGATCTGCAACCTGTCAAATATGCATAATTATCAGGTGAAATTTATCTGAGAGAAATATATAAACAATTTCCACTTGGAAATGTGTAAAACAGAGAATGCTGATGAACCATTTTTTCTTGACTAAAATTTTGAGGGCACATTTAAAGACAGTCTCATTTTGCTTATTTTCAAATCATGTTTGTACTAACTGAAAGAATTTGTGACATGACTTTTCCTCCATACAGTTCATCCTTTTAGCAACTTAGTGCTCTCCTGACATGGAAAAATCTCTACTTTTATGATCTGACTGTTCCTGTACAATCAGCTAACTAGATTCCCGTCTATGCAACTTAAGACATATTCACGCTTTTTAATTCTAACTCAAGCAAATGAATAGAATCTGACCCTCACCAATTATACATTGTTTTGTTGCATTGTACAGGCATTCTGATTTGAAACGACTATGTCAGTACCTGATGTTAGGATCTTGTGCTGATAAATCAAAGGACCAATACAAAGTTTTATTCTGAACAGCAAAGCAATTATTCTGCATTTCTTACCTGAGACTGTGCTTGTAGCGTCAGTTTTAATTCCTCACTCTCTGAAGAGGGCATAGTGGTTTTGCCACAAGTTACTTTGTGCAGCTCTTCCCAGCACCTGACAGATTTGTTGCTGCAGAGTGTGTTTAAGTATCTTGGATATTTCAAGCCACTCATGGCACATTCATAAAAAGTTCCATTGAGCAAAGCCACAGACAGCCACATCACAGGAGCTATTAGAACATTTAGAGTGATTTGTCCAAAGATATAAAAAAACCGGCAGCTGTTCCCTTTGGGGAATATTTTCCTAGGATTCAGGCAGCAGCCTGTGAAAAGTTTCCACATCCTGCTATTCATGAAATACCCAATAACTAGCAACACCCAAGCTGGGGCAAAGAGAAATACCAAACCATAGATGAAGTTTTCACTGCTGCAGGGACACTTGAAAGCAACAAGAGAAAATAAACGTTCACTTCCCACTGTAAGTAGAGCCATAAAACTGTAACCAATGGCAGTTTTCTGGTTAATAAGGAACTTCAGAATAGTTTGAATACCATCCATGTTTGATGTCCACAAAAGAGACAGAAAATGAGGCTTTGTCTATTGTGCAGCAATTTGTAGCAATGTATTAGGGAGGAGCTCTTGAGAAGAAAAATACCCAGCTAGTGTCCAGTTTAGTGCAGCCTAGATAAAGTGATGATGTCATTGTATATCCTTCCTCACAAATATACCCAAAGGGACTAGTCATTAGCAAAGCAGATTTTACATATCTAAAGCACTATTAATCTGTATTATAACCTGCAATGTAGACAATGCTCTGTTGTCAAGTAAAATCACAGTCTCGGTTATCATTCCTGTTATTGGACTGTAGCTTAAAATGAGAATGAAACAGAAACACATACTAACTGATCACAGGACTTCTTGAGTGATTATCACCAGTGTTTACAGAAATATACTTGAAAGATCTGAACTCAATTTGGATCTTACAGATTTCAGTGTAAATAAAGTCTTACTGCCAAATCCTACAGAGTGACAACAGAGTAAAACCACTGTATGAGAAGGGAATCAGTGCACGTCTTTTACACTATATTGGAATCCAATATAGGCCCAGATTCTCTGCTGTGTCTAGCTTATGCAGGATACAGCAGAGTGGGAAGTTGTCAGGTGGTCAGCCATAGTTCCCAGATTCTCTGTCTGGCCTCATCCCTTACTTCTAGTCTCAATGGTAGCAATAGAACAATAGAATGTAGCATCTAAGGCTATGTCTTCACAGCAGCGTTATTTCAGAATGATTTTATTCCGAAATAACATAGTCCATGTCTACACAAAAGCAGTTATTTTGACATAATGTCAAAATAATGTCAAGCTGGAGGACTGCTTACTCCAACTCCTGTAATCCTCATTCTACAAGGAGTAAGGGAAGTCGGGGGAAGAGTACTCTCTCTCGAAATAACTGTTGTGTAGACAGCGCCAAAAGTCAAAAGAAGCTATTTCGACTTCAGCTACACAACTAGCGTAACTCAAATTGCATAGCTTATTTCAAGGTTAGCCCTGCTATGTAGATGTGCCCTAAAAGTCTTCTAGCCTATTATATACATGCAGTAGTTTCAACGGGCACATTTTTGTTCCTTTACAGGTTGCTTTCAAGATGTACCTTGGGATTACCCCTAGCGTGAGCTGCAGTAACACAACAGAAAATGAATTCTTCTTAATGCTGGACAACAACCCTTTGGTGGACTTTGTGGAAGAGCTCCCACCAGGACGATCTTCACTTTGCTACTGTAATCTCCTGTGTGGTGTTATTAGAGGAGCCCTGGAAATGGTAAAGAACCGGACACTAAATTTTCCTATTTCTGTTGTTACCTATGGACATAGGAAAGTAGAACCACTGGATAAGCAAATGAAATGTCACTTATAAGTAATTAATCTCAGTGTCTGATTTAGCAATAGCAACTCCTCCACCTTGCCAAATAAACCAAGTGAAATTCTGCTTTCACTTTACATCATAGTAAATTCAGAATTACTCTAATCAAATAAATCGTGTTGCTCCACTGTTACACTGGTTTAACAGAGCAGAGTTTTTGACTCAGTATAGTCATAGAATTAAGTTATGGTGAATCAAATAACATTAATTTTTTTATTTTCAAATCTCAACTTTTACAAAATAAACAGAAACATTCATAACTCGCATAATTGTAAACTTGCAGGGCCAAATTAAACTTGGTATCGCTTTACAGAAGACAGGAGAACTACACCAAGGATGAATTTTGTCCACGATCTTCTTTTCCTACAAATAATATCTAATTTACCACATATACATATATTTCCTAAGTACAGTACTATAAAATGAAAGTTGAATACTGCATCATATGGCTATAAATCAGTCTCACGATTCTGATATGTTAAAGGGTATTAACACTTGTATCATTAAGTGTTACCTTCTTACATGGGGAAATTTGAGGTCACAATATGAAACTCATCTGTTTTACGTTTCATGTCCTCAGAAGAAAGCAAAACACCATTCTGGCATTATGCACTACTAACCAAACTATTGGCATATTGTTAGCAGAATGACATATGTATACATATTTAAATGCATAAAGAGGATTTATTTTTAACTCATCGGCTATGTGCAATTCTTAAGGATTTCAATGAAATTCCTTTATAATGAAACTTTTGAAAGAGGCCCCTCTTGTGGTGGGAAAAAACAGCTGGATGAACTAAAGGAAAGAAAGGAGGGGAAATTTCCTTACATGAAATGACCAGGCCTGTTTTTCTCCAGGTTCACTTAGCGGCAGAAGTTACCTTCGTTCAAGACAGACTGAAGGGTGATGATGTGACAGAAATAGGAATTACATTTCCAAAGAGGCTTGAAGTCAAAAAGCACAAAAGAAATAAATGAAGCTGATAGAAGGAATCATCTCTAACTTACAGTTTGACCATTTTTACCTGTTTAGGAAGAAAAACCTATGGTGGCAATGACTTCATTGATTCAGGTACAGTCACATCTTAGAATGATAATGACAACCAGAATGTATACACAATATGTAGAGTTGATTTCTATCACCACATTGCAGAATTCAGCATACAAACTTAAACAGATCCAATCCTTTACTTCTTTCATAGGCAAAAATCCCATTGATTACACCATATGTCTACACTGGCAGCTTCTTGCGCAAGAACAGTCATTCTTGCGCAAAAACTTGCCTGCTGTCTACACTGCACGCGCATTCTTGTGCAAGTAAATTTACAGTATAACATTGTAAAACAGGACTTCTTCCGAACAGTTATTCCTCTCCCCACGAGGAATAAGCCCTCTTGCGCAAGAGCTCTTCCATAAGAGGGCAGTGTAGACAGGCAACATGAATTTCTTGTGCAAGAAGCCCCTATGGTTAAAATGGCCATCAGAGCTTTCTTGCGCAAGAGAGTGTCTATCCTGCCATGGATGCTCTTGCACAAAAGCACATGCCAGTGTAGACGCGCTCTTGTGAAAGACTTTTTGCGCAGGAACTCTTCCACAAAACAGTTCTTGTGCAAGAAGCTGCCAGTATAGATGTAGCCCAGGAGTTTTACCTAAGTAATAAGTGTGTGTCTTGGCCCTAAATCTTTGTTCTAATTCCTGTTCTTTTTCATTAGAAATGTGCCTGTGTGAATAAGAAATTGTTTTGCTATAAATACTTTGTTCAGTTTTTCATGCCAATGCATCTTCCTTTGTTTCACTTGTGATTATAGTATTTCCTTCATTTTGCCCAATCTGCTCCCACTGAAATCAAACAGAGATGAATTTCCCTGTGAGCAGGTTTTTCCTATAAGCAAACATGACAACATGCAGTTTTGTTCAATGTATATAGGAGACAAAGAAGTTTTCTAAACAATGGAATACAGACTAAGCCCTTTGTGCAGCTTTAACGTGAGGATTCTTGAGCATACAGAGGTTGCTAGCAAACTTAAAAAGCATGATGTGTTATAATGTACAGTCATCTGAAATATAAGCTTTAACCAAGCAAGCTGCAATAAAAAACAATGAAAATATTATTGCCTCACCCATTCTTCTCTGTCAAAGTACTTACATCACTTCAGTTTCTAAGCACCTCACAATCATTAACTGATTTATCCCCACAAGACCACAGTGGAGGTACAGACCTCATTTTACACATGGGAAATTGAGGCACGGGATAGATTAAGTGTTTTGCCAAAGTAACACAAGAAATCTCTGGCAGAGCTGGGAATTAAGTCTAGACCTCGAGACCTAGTCTGTTAGCCTATCGACCAGATCATCCTTTTTTATACTCCCTATGGGACCCACAATTCCCTGTTTTAATTACAGTGCAGAATTATCAGCATTAATCAGTCAGCACAAATGCTGCCCATGGTAAACATAGGACTCTGTTTCTGAAACCCTTGTTCTTCATCTCCTTTTCCCATCTTTTTTGTCTGTTAAGTCCCAAACCTGTGGAATTATGTGAATGGGTTGATTTCTATGCCTGGGAAGGGTCATGGACTTAAATGGGGTTCTGCCTGTAGGATCAGGGCCTTAAATTATAAAGTGTTGAGAGCAGGGACCATTGCTGACATCTGACCCTTTGGATATCAATGGGAGTTTTGCCATTGACTTAGATGGGGACCAGGTTTTCATGCCATGTTTCTACTTTTCAAATTGTTAGAAATGACCAAGCTTCATATTTGCTGCAGTGCTCAATGCAGGAAATTGAGGGGCTACTATTTTATACCTTGGTTTAGCAAAATACTCAAATACAAGTGTTGCCCCACTGAAGTTCTTCCCTATCTATCTATTTACAATACATTTCAAAGAACAGGTACATACACACCCTTTGGTTTTAGTTTTCATTTTTCCCCTCATTACACAGGGTGGTTGTGTCTGTTATGCGCTAAGGAAAGACAAAGCAAAACACACAAATATTTATGTATAATTAGAAAGAGAGAAAAATACCCCTTAGAATCACACACCATAAAGGATGAAATTCTTTTCTTCTGAGGGTCACCACCAAGTCTAAACATTGATTTACATAGTGGGATGTAAGTGGTGCAGAGCCTAGGTCTTATCTAGAGTGGGAAAAAATATTTTCAGGGTCAAAAGAGGGTAAAGGCCCTTTCCTTTGAAAACCTTAGAGCAGGGGTCAGCCACATAAGGCATGTGTGCCATTAAGTGGCACATGAACTGATTTTGAGTGGCACACAGCCTGACCAGTGGGGCTGCATGACTGGCAATTGCCCCATGTGCCACAGATGGATTTAGGCCAGGGTGAAGCTGTCCCTGCTGGGGCAGCCTCACTGTGATCCCCAGTTCCTGCTCTGTGGTAGCCCCACTGCCTGGCCATTGAGCCTATGTGGCCTTGCAGCTGCTCTGAGGGTCAGGGCTGCTTCCAGGGGCGGCCGGGCCACGTTGGGGAGTGGGGTGCCCCAAAGCTGGCTGCCGGGGGCAGGCTGGAGTCAGGCTGGGATGTGGCAGCCGTGGGGAGGAGGTGGGCTTGCTCGGGGGTGGGAATGAGGGTGAGTGCTGCCCAGGCTGCAGCTCTGGGGCTGGGCAGTGGCATGAGTGGCTATGGGGAGAGGAAAACACGTGGGGGGTCTCTCTGCTCCAACACTGCATTGGCCACTGGATGCCTGCGTTCCTAGTAGGAAGGTGAGGGCGCCATGGACCCCTCCCCATCAGGGCTAGATACCCTGGGGTCACCCTCCCAGCCCTCCCTCTCCTCGCTCATTTCTCTGAACTCCCTCCAGCCATCCTGACCCCAGCCTGTGCTGGTGATCCAGCCAGTGCTGGCTTCCTGGAGGGGAGGGGGAAGCCCCGAGGCTCTACATGGCATCCAGCTTCTGGGGAAGTGTGTGTGCATTGCTCCTCCCCTCCCCACAGGAAAAGCCTGAGTGGAGCCCAGGGCAGGAGAGTTCAATCTTGACACGCCACTTCAGAAGGGTTGCTGACCCCTGCTCTAGAGTATCATAATTCTGCTAACCATTGTCTGCCTGTCCCTCAGCCCAGGGAACTCAATGGAATATCGCAGGAACAAGGTGCGAGATCTAGTCCAATGCACACCCTTGACACTTATAGCTCTTTAATGCCTTCCAAGATGCACGTGAAAGCATATACAAAAGTTAATGAAAAACATTCAAATTAGTCAGCTCAGTCCACCATAACTAAGCTGAAGAATATCAAATTCTGTTGTTTCACTGGTTTTCTTTCTGTTGCCTACCAAATTTTAGATAGGAAGAATGCTGACAGAATTTCTTTTATGCAAAACAGCAACATTACACGTGCATTTGTTTTCTTTAAATAACATAAGCATAATAGATGCTTATGAGAGAAAAGGAACATGCACTGGAAAGCTATTTGGTCAGTTCTTGTGGGACAATGTATTCTCTGGAACATTGAACCCTTTGCTGTGCTATTAGAGCTTGGAAATCATTTGCCATCTTACCTCAGGAAGTGCTATAGACATTTGGTGAGAGAAATTATGGCAGAAAATACAGTGATTTAACACATTAAAATGTTAATGAAAGTTGTCATTAGCTAAACCTTTTTGCTTTCACCTATGTTTATACTGTTGTATCTTGTGCCTTATTGGAATCATTTTCTTTCATTCTATCTTCCACTAGTTTAGGGAGTGTGCTGAAGAGCTGCTGTTTAATGTTGTAAGAGTACAAAACAGACACATTTTCCCATGCCTGGAAAGTTGGCATGGGAAAGGATTCCAGTTTCTTGTTCTCAAAAAAACTTTGCAGGGTTTGTTCGCTCAATTTGGTAGCATATGTCTCAAAATGTTTTTCAAATTGTTCTTTCTCCTTCTCAGTGTAGATCTTCCAAAACTTCTTTTGGAGATGGCTGCTATTAGATTGGCAGTGACCATAACAAGTGAATAATAAAGACAGAAAAGCAGCAGTAACTATCACACACCATCCTACAACCAGTAAAAGATAGGATAATTTGGTATCAAAGTATGAAAGGGCTAAAATAAAAATTCTGATTGCAAATTCAAATTAGATCAAGAAAAACTAGTGCTATTATTGTTTTTACTGCTGCATTGAGACTATGTTCTTTACTGCTTCTTTTAAATGAAAAACCTTGAAAAGTAATAATCAAACAAAATATTTTGAAAATAAAGTGATCCAGCAAGTGTAAATTCTATTCACAAGCAGAGGCCCCTGAATTTCTAAGGCAACGTCTAGACTGCTTTCCTCTTCTGAAAGAGGAAATGGAAATGAGGAAAGAGGAAATTCAAGACTGCACATAGAGCAGTGCCTCCTTTGTCAGTGGGCAAGTAGACCAGTCCCACCTCAGGCTCACTTTTGCCCTGTACAGTAATTCCTCGCTTAACACGTGCCCACTTAACAGGTTTTCACAATAGCACAATTTTTTTTAAGGTACATTTTTCGAACAACACGACCATCCCTGCAATAACATGATTTCCCCAACCAGCAGGCTGGTCGCTGGCAGCTGCTCTGGGCTTCCCCTGCCTCCCTGCAAAGTGGCAGAGGTTTGCCGCTTGCCGCGCCATTCCCCAGCGACCCCTCTGGCCAGATACCTCGCTCCCTCTCCTCTGCCCCCCGCTTGCAGACAGCGGATGGGTTTCCCCTGCTGGCCAGTCGTCCGCAGCTGTGCAGAGCTTTCCCTGTCTCCTTGCATCCGGCGAGAAGGGGTCCAGGGAACAGCGCAGCGAGCGGCGACCCTCCGCCGCTTTGCAAAGAGGCAGAGGAAGCCCCGCGCAGCTGCTGGTGACCGGCCAGCTGGGGAAACCCAGCCGCCGGCTGCAAGCCCCCTCCCCTGTCCCCTGTCTTTCCCCAGAGCTAAACACCTCCCCTTCCTGCTATACCCCTGGCCCTTTCCTCCCCCAACTTTATGTCCCAGTCCCAGCTGCTAACAAATGCAGACTGGAGCCGCAAGCGCAAACGTAACCCCCACCTTTTCCATTATTTTCAATGGGAAAATTGACCTCGCATAACATGTTTTCACTTAGCATGATCATTTTCTGAAACGTATCTTCCACTCTTGTAGTCGCTGGCAGAGGAACCAGGACGCACTTTCTACCTTGGGTTCCAATCCGGGGACCTTCAAACCAGCAGTTCAGGTCTATAGTGTCTCAGATTTTGCTGTTCCTTCCCTGGACTGCTTTTTACGCTGCCTTTTCTCAGCCTTCTAGTTTCCACCTTGTACAAAGAGTGTTCACCTCACTGA